ATCTACTCTGGATCAATGTTGAGTAGAATTTCAGTGACGTCAACAGCCAGGTGCGATGGGAAGTGTAGTTCTGCAACATCTGGAGCGCTGCAATTCCTAATCCTGGATTAAGGAATGGACAGGGCTGTCCGCGATCACTCTCCCAACCCATCCCCCAAACCTCTGTATGTACTTTAACATCCCACTGTACATTTTGCCCTCTATGACTTACAATTTTACCATTTCTGCCGCCGTTGGTATTTAAACATCAGAGCGCTGCAGGAACACAGTCTTGCATCCCTAATTTAAAAAACAAAAACAGCAATAAAACCGCAAACTGGTGCAGAACACTCAGCTAGGCTGCTAAGAGAGACATCTGGCCATTCACACATAACACCTGTGCAGAAAGGGCTGCTAATTTGCCAGGTTTAAGGTGCTATCAAGATATAAAGCCCTAAACAACTTCAGGGCACATTTACCTAGAAGAACGCCTTCCCCATGCAGACCTGTTAGATCACGCTGATTTTTGGAGGGTGCTTGTTGCCACAACCTGTGAAATTGCACCAGTGAAGAATTCTCCACAGTGGCACTTACCGGTATTTTGTGGTACATGCCCCCCATGCGTACAGTCATATAGCAGGCAACAACAGGGGTCTTTCCCATTGTTTATCCGAATTTTGTATTTTTGCCTAGTTGTTGCCCAGCTATTGATGTGAGTTTTACACCACTGTCTTGGTGATGTTTTATTGTCTTGGTAAGTTTTGCCATGATTACCGTATGTAAACCTGCTGTTGTAAACCGCTGTGGGATGGTTTTAAAAACGAAAAGCAGTCTAGTTTAAAAACAAACAAAACAAGCAACAACAGCAAGTGGCAGAGCAGCATAAAAGAACATCACTAGAGATAAAAACCCCACAGTTAAAATGCCTGGGAGAATTAAAAATGTCTTCCTTTGGTGTTGAAAAGTCATCAGAATCACTGTCCAGCCTCCCAGCCTAGGAGCCATTCTCAAACCATGACTTTAGGAACAGGAGGAGGAGCTGGGAAGACAGGAGTTCAGGGATATTTTTTAAAAAAATAATTATATAAGTTGTGTGTCTTTCCTTTTCAATTTGTATTGTTATTTTATGCACTGTGACTTGCTTTTATTTTTACTGATTATAGTTTAGAAATTATTTATTTGTAATTGTTAAAAAAACTCTGTTTATTATTTGCTGATATTTTATTTTATTGTGTACTATTAAATTCTAATGTACTATTGAATATTACTTTGGTAGCTCTTACCGCCAGAAAGTTTTTCCTGATGTTCAGTCGGAATCTCCTTTCTTCTAACTTGAATCCTCCTCCAAACCCCCTTATGTTGACAATGGCAAAGAAATTGACGTTGTGTTGTCTGTCCAAGTCTGAAAACACAAAAATAGATAGGCATAATAGGGACAGAGGTTCCAAAGAAGATGACTAAACTATTTACCAGTATGTACATGACAACAGCAGCAGAATATTATTATATGTGCAGAAATGGAAAGGAGAGCAGGTTCCAACGGAGGCTTTTGAAAGTAAAGGACTATGCAGAAACGGCAAAGCTAACAGCGAAATTAAGACATCAAAATGATGAATTTTTCATAGAAGAATGGAGACCTTTCTTGGATTATTATTTTTTTAAATACTATACTATTACTATTACTATTACTATTGTAATAGAGAAAATTTGTGTAATAGATAAAAGATATAATGCAGAAGAAAAGGTTTGAGTAAAACCACTGCGGAAGTGGAGATGGGAAGTCTATTAATGAAAGAATGTAACTATTTGTTATGAAGATTGTTGTGAAAATGTTTGTATTTTTAATATACTGTGTATATATATATTGACACACACACACAATGAAGAGGGGTAATCAACACAGAGCACTCCAGAACTTGTCGGAGTCTCGACAGCTCCAGCCAGCAAAGCCAGTGGTCAGGGATGATGGAGACCAGAATCATTAGTGGGATGCCAGATCTGCAAAAAGATTAGCACATTTATAAAGGCATACGTCCTTGTGGACTATAATAACTTTTATGGACCATCATAATTTTGTTAGCTTTTAAACCATGGGAGAAGTTAGGCAACTTTTGACCTCTAGATGCAATGCTCTTCCCTAATGACATTCTGTGTATGTTAATAAACTGAACAGAGTGAAAGATTACTGGTATGTGTCATGGGGGTGTGGAGATCATTTTTACAATCTTAGCAGCGCTTAGTTTATCTTTGGGTGGCTATTTTGATAATGTTGTTTTCTAGATGATGGCGATGATGATTTATAAGCCACCCTTTTATCAAGCTGCTGTATTAACTTGTGAATCGTGTGATCAGCCTTTTGCTTCGTGATGCTTAGCTTATTTTTTTAGTTTTAGCTTTGTTAACAGTGTGCTATAAGGTCGCAATTGTTTCGCTGGTGGTTTACGGTAATTATTCTGTATGTTTCATGCTTTATTTCTGATGTTCTATATATTCCATCCTGTTACAGTGGTACCTCAGGTTAAGTACTTAATTCGTTCCGGAGGTCCGTTCTTAACCTGAAACTGTTCTTAACCTAAGGTACCACTTTAGCTAATGGGGCCTCCCGCTGCCGCCACGCTGCTGCCACAAAATTTCTGTTCTCATCCTGAAGCAAAGTTCTTAACCCGAGGTATTTCTGGGTTAGCGGAGTCTGTAACCTGAAGCGTATGTAACCTGAAGCATATGTAGCCCGAGGTACCACTGTATTGTTATTTATTGTTTGTAAGCCGTTTGGGGATTTATTTAAATGAAAAGCGGCAAAGAAATATATCAAATAAAATATTTTATTATCCTATATGATTTCTTCTGTATCTGTGATGTTCATTACGTTCCACAACAACAACGATAATAATTTATTTTGTATACCCTGCCAAACTGACTGGGTTGCCCCAGTCACTCTGGGCACCCGCCATCAAAAATAAATCAAGCATTAAAAACTTCCTGAAACAGGGTTGCCTTCATATGCCTACGAATTTCACACCTGCCAGGAGGGCATTACACAGGGCGGGTGCAACTACGGAAAATCGAATCAAATATTTAATTATTCGTGCTATATTTCTGATGTTCTAATTATGTTCCACCACCACTTTACTGTCACTTATTATTTGTAAGCCGCTTGGGGATTCATTTGAATGAAAACATTGACAGTGCCAGTCCCGCGCATGCCTTCCTTCACTTTTTTGCACCATGTGGCAAGCTAGCCTTGCTGTTTTGGGGGTCATTCAGCTGCCTGCCCCCTTCCCCGCCCTGCTCCGTTTGCTTCCGTTGCTGCAACGTGTTAGCTGGCAGCTCCCGGTCTTGCAACAAATCCCTCCAAGGCAGCGACACGGTTTTTCCCAGCGTGCGCAAGGAAGCATTGCAGGGCATCCCCGCTCCGCTCAGCGCCTCCCAAGTTCCTGCAGAGGGCGCTGCTGCTGCTGCTGCGCCGGGGATACTTCGGCGCAAGAGGGCAGCAAGGGGGAGAACAAAGGGGTCGTCGCCTGTTGCAACCCGGCTGAGCTGCAGCTGCCGCCGCCACGAAGGGAGCAAAAACGAGCCCAGGGACTCCCGGAGGAGCGCTTTCCGCCGCAACCAAACCGGTTTGCAAAAGCAAAAAAAGACAGCCGGGGGGTGTTTGGGGGTTGCTCTCGATTGCATTGCATATTTACAGACTTGCTTTAAAAAAATAAAAAATAAAATAAGAATGCAAGAAGGGGAGTCGTTTGCATTTGCAGCCGAGGCGCGCGCGCGCGCGCTCCGGATCTGGCGGAGGAGAGGCGGTCGGCAGGAGCCACCTGCTGGCAAGAGGTAGCTGGGAGTTGCTCGCGGGGGAGGCGGGACCCTCGCAGGGAGGCCTCCTCCTCCCCCGCGGGGAAGGGGAAGACCCCCCCCAGCACCACGTGGCGCCGGCGGAAGAGGCGCCCCGAGCGCGCGCCCCGGGCTGCAAAAGCTGGCGCGAGTTGCGCGGCGTTCGCGGCTTCGCTGCTGTGCGCAAGTCCCGTCCCGTCCCCCCCACGGGTGAGAAGGGTTAGTTCGTAGAATCGCAGAAGTTGGAAGGAATTCCCCCCCCCCCCCAGGTTCTAGCCCCCATCCCCTTTTGCGATGCAGGAATCTCGTGACAGGTGGCCATCGGCACCTCCTCTACCTGGAAACTTCCAAGGAAGAAGAGGTCCCCTCTTGGATGAAGTCTGTTTATGGGCATAGAATGGATTTATGTTGGGCGGGGGGCGTGGGGAGGAAGGCCACCCACCTGTCATTCTCCTCCGTAGCGGATTCTGAATGAAATGTCTCAACCGTTGTTTTAAAATTCTTTCTTTGGGCCCCAAGTGCTCAGGAAAACCTGTCGGAATCTTTCTGCAGTTTCTACTTTTAGTTAAGTATTTCATTCATTCACTTGAATTGGGGGGGGCAGCTGCATAAAGCACAGAACCTAGGACTTGCTGATCAGTAGGGGAAGATGGGGGGGCACAAGGAGAAGGGGACGACAGAGGACGAGATGGTTGGACAGTGTTCTCGAAGCTACCAGCATGAGTCTGACCAAACTGCTGGAGGCAGTGGAAGACAGGAGTGCCTGGCGTGCTCTGGTCCATGGGGTCACGAAGAGTCGGACATGACTAAACGACTAAACAACAACAACTCCCTGTCTCTTTAAAAGAGAGATATCTTCGTAGTCAGGGCGCAGGGGTTGCTGGCCGGGCAACTTGGAAGCCTGGAGTGTTTTCAAAGTAGATTAGATACAGATGGATCTGATTTGGGAGAGGAATGGGTGGGTCTGGAAGAGATGGAATAAAAGGGTAAATGAAGGAACAGATTGAGAGGGAGTGACAGTTGATGCAGAAATGATGAGTTTCAAGTTTCAGGACTGATTTTACACCAGGAAAGCTAGAGATTATTAACCATGACTAAAGAGTTTTGAAAGAGAGGCATATTTCTGTTTTGTTTTATTTTTTTAAAGTATGCATTGTCTTTCTGACCAAAGATATTCCAAAGAACTGTAGGGACCCTGAGGATCAGGACTCGAACCTGCAACCTTGGCATTATCAGCACCACACTCTAACCAGCTGAGTTTTGATTTTAAAAGATTGGGGGAATATAATAAAACAAATCTGAAGGTGGCAAAGAATCGGCAGTGAATGGCAGAAAATGCTTACAAGCACTTGGGGAAAGAGCTTCCGATTACCAAGTACAGTGGTACCTCTGGTTACAGACGCTTCAGGTTACAGACTCTGCTAACCCAGAAATAATACCTTGGGTTAAGAACTTTGCTTCAGGATGAGAACAGAAATTGCGCCATGGCGGTGTGACAGCAGCAGGAGGCCCCATTAGCTAAAGTGGTACCTCAGGTTAAGAACAGTTTCAGCTTAAAAACGGACCTCCGGAACGAAATAAGTTCTTAACCCGAGGTACCACTGTGCCTGGTTCCATTGTCAGGATTAAAGTTAAGAGACCACCACACACGACAAGACCTGCCAAGAAAAACAAAGAATTTATTTATGTATGCTACAACAGCGGCAAGAGTCTTGTTAGCACAAGGATGGAAAAACGAGGAAACCCCAACGAAAGAACAGTGGCAAGAAAAACTGATGAGCTATGCAGCATTGGCCAAATTGACACATAAACTATGTGAGAAGGACAATCATGACTTCAAAGAAGATTGGGAACTTTTTACAAATTATTTTTTTAAAAAACAAAATGACTTAGACTCCTTGGCAGGTTTTGAATAAACATCCACAAATTTATTAATAGAATATATGACAGATAAGGTAATGATATGTACCATTTTTGATATGCAGAGAATAACAAGCGTAAACAAATTGGAGAAGGGAGCTGAGGGAAGTCGAGGAAGAGATAATCGACTGTTTGGATTGATAATTTGTTTTGTTGAAATTGTTTAATAAAAATATATTTTTTTAAAAAAAGAGAGAGACCACCACACACACAAAAATATCTTCTCCAGATCTTGCTCAACTCTCCACTGCCCATTGCTGACTTTCGTATATAACTTCCATCTGAGCCAGATGAAGTTGCAAAGCAATTTTAGGCTCTGGATGTGGACCTCAACCCATCACACTTTAGATGGCAACATGTGTTAACTCACTCACTTCAAAATAGAAAGGGCTGTAGCTCATTTGCACAGCATGTGTTTGCATGCAGAAGGTCCCAGGGTCAATCCCAGCATCTACAGGTAGAGCTGGGAGAGGATTCTCAGTCTGAAATCCTGGGCAGCTGCTGCCAGTCGATGTAAGCATGGGGTTCGCCAGAAGGTGTTAGGACTCTGCTTGGCCAGCAGCCATGGACAATGGGAGTTGTAGTCCTCCAACATCTGGAGGGTACAACGTTTGGCTACCCTTGGTATACACCAGGGTTTCCCAAACATGGGTCTCCAGCTGTTTTTGGACTACAATTCCCATCATCCCTGGCCACTTGGTCCTGCTAGATAGGGAGGATGGGAGTTGTAGTCCAAAACCCGCAGGAGCCAGAGTTTGGGAAACCTGGAAAGGAAAACTTGTTGGCAGTGCCACATGGGAGGCGAGGAAATACTGCAATATATTGCTGTAGAAATAAGAATGGGTTTCTCCTAAATAAGAAGAGCCGGTAAGTATGCAGTTTGTTGTTTTAATGCCCGCACAGAGCTGGCCAAGTTGCTGCTGAAATGAGATTTCCATCTGACAGGAGCCCTTTATACTCTAGATCAGCATTTCCCAACCTTGGGCCTCCAGCTGTTTTTGGACTACAACTCCCATAATCCTCAGCTAGCAAGACCAGTGGTCAGGGATGATGGGAATTGTAGTTCGAAAACAGCTGGAGGCCCAAGGTTGGGAAACACTGCTCTAGATAAACCCCGCTAGAACACAGGCGGGGAGGGGAGAGAGAGAAAAAAGAAAATCCCAAACCAATTGTTTGTGTTATGTGTGTTCGTATTGCTTAGGCAACAAAGTTCTGACAGGGCAATCAAGGCATTCTAAGCCTTCATTCCATGCTCTAATACAGGCATCCCCAAACCCGGCCCTGCAGATGTTTTGGGACTACAACTCCCATCATCCCTGACCACTGGTCCCGTTAGCTAGGGATGATGGGAGTTGTAGTCCCAAAACATCTGGAGGGCCGAGTTCCTGCTCTAATATGTCTCTGCCTGAGTTCGTTGATCCATTTCTGCAGTCAAGCCAAACACTTTTGCACTGTGCTCTGTTACCTAGCCCCCTTACGACATTTAATACTCGGGGCAACTGGAGCTCCTTTTGTTGCCCTGGGGCTTTTTATATCACCACCACCACGCTAACATAGCTGCCTATTCCACCTCCCATATGCCATCACATGAACCAGGCAAAGGGTGTTTTAATATTTATTTCTCCCCATTGTGGACAGCAAGAGAGGCAGAACATTACATTTGCGTGTCCGTGTATATGTTTCTTTGTTTTCTCCATGGCATGGCAAACTGTAGGCTGGTGGGGAAAGGGCGTACATCAGGAAAATAGCATTGGAGGGGAAGGATTAGCTTCCCTTCTCCTTCCTCTCCCCCTCCCAAAAAAATCTGGAGCAAAACCACCCACCCTGCAGCTACTATGGGCCAAAATCATGTCTCTTTGTCATTGTGACTAGTTTGGGCAAGGCGCTCACCTGGTTTTCAGCTTTGTGATATATCCCCAGCTAAACATCGTGATATATTGATATATCACAATGTCTGAAATAAGGATGGAGCTATGAAGGCAGCCCTGTTTAGGGAAGCTTTTAATGTGTGATGTATTACAGTATTTTAATATTTTTTTGGAAGCCGCCCAGAGTGGCTGGGGAAGCCCAGCCAGATGGGTGGGGTATAAATAATAAATTAGTAGTAGTAGTAGTAGTAGTAGTATGTAGAGGGATTGGCTGATTGGTTTTCCCCACATTGTGATTTTTGCAAACACACACACAAACATCTTAATTTGTGATATATTGCCCTGTCAAAAACTATGAAACCAATATAATGACTTTCCTCCCCTCCTTTCTTACTGTGGATATTCTTTTTTCTATTATTATTATTATTATTATTATTATTATTATTATTATTATTATTATTTTATATTGGCAAAGTAATAATCATACATAAGAATAAAATATGTGTACCCCGCCACTGAGACCATTCCATTGTAACTATCCAACCACCCAAAATTCTAACACCTCTTGCGTTTTAACAGTACAAATTCTATAAACACCTTCCATATCTCCTCAAAATCATATATCCTGCATATTCCCTGTCTTACCTTAATGGCACATGTTAATTTATCATTAATAGCTATATCCCACACCTCTTGTTCCAGGGATTCGAACCGCCGACCTTCTGGTCGGCAAGCCCTAGGCTCTGTGGTTTAACCCACAGCGCCACCCGCGTCCCTGCTATAAAACATACTGATGCTCAGTCTTGCCCACGAACCAGGACATTTGTTTGCTTGCTTCCTTCCTTAAACCCTAAATCCAACAGCAGCCTAAGCAAATGACATTAGGGAGCATATAAATTCGACACGCAGCTTGGTTTTTTCGGAAGCGCGTTCAAGCCTGGGAGAATTCGCTCAAAAAATCCCCGCCACCCAAATTCTTCTGCCGCTCCAAAAGGCTTCCCAGCGAGATAATCGAGTGCAGGAACGAGCCAGGAGCCACTCCAGCAGGCAAGGCCATCCCTCCAGCTGGATCCTCAGCATGCCCATATGGGCTTATAAATACATGCTGGAAAAAAGCTCTAAACAGTTTGCTTATGAGACTAAACACAAGAGCTCAAAGGCAGCCTGGCGAATGGGGAAATGAAAGGCCTTAAGACCTGCATTTGTACACAATGGGCTGTAAAGGAATTCGCAGGCTGCCCCCTATCCCCACCCCCACCCCCCCTCACCTTTTAGAGCCAGGCTTGCTGACAAATGGCAGAGCCCAGCTCTGGGAATTGCCAGGCCCTCGCAGCTATCAGCAAGGGGGTGGGCGCAGCAGATTAGCACCAGGCTCAGCACCTCGGAGGCGTGACTTGGGGTGGGAGCCAGTGGTGGTGGTTGTGTGGGGAACGCTCAGGTTTCCTTCTCTGGCCTCCAGCCCAAGAGGCTTGAGTCTTGCCAAAGGGATTTGGTTGCCCAGTCCTCGTTTGTGTCGGAACGGCTAAGAAAAAGATTCCAAATCAGTCTGGCAGCTCCAGAACACTCACCCCCTCCCAAGCAGCCATTGTTTCTGTCTGGGCACGATGGGGCTTACATAAGAGGCTGGTCTCAGCTCAGTTGGAAAACTGAATAGCGTGCGTACTCATCTCCTTTTCGGTGCCAGCGCCACTTCATCCCTACCTGGCAGGGGACACAGGTGCATCATGGCAAACCTCAAATCTGTTTAAACAGGGCAAGGTTGTTGTTGTTTTTGTTAAATTATTGAATTTGCATACCACCCTATACCCGTAAGGTCACGGGGCAGCCCACAATACAAAGTTGCAATAGGAAAAGCACGAAATACGTAACAAAAATAAGTAAAAGAAATAACAATGTATGCACACTCATAGAAAATACACTCCCCAGCAAAAGACTCTAAACAACACTCCAACCCGTTGTTGTTGTTGTTGTTGTTGTTGTTGGTACACTGTCCTATACAGTGGTACCTTGGGTTAAGTACTTAATTCGTTCCAGAGGTCCATACTTAACCTGAAACTGTTCTTAACCTGAAGCACCACTTTAGCTAATGGGGCCTCCTGCTGCTACCGTGCCGCCAGAGCATGATTTCTGTTCTCATCCTGAAGCAAAGTTCTTAACTTGAAGCACTATATCTGGATTAGCGGAGTCTGTAACCTGGAGCGTATGTAACCTGAAGCATATGTAACCTGAGGTACCACTGTACATGCAAGTCTCTGGGTGGTTACAATATAAAATCACAATATAAAAACACAAAATACATAAGAAAAATAAATAAAACAGCCCAAAAACAGCCCCCTCCCCAACAAATTTTTAAAGGGCATTGGATGTCAAAATAAAATCCAAAAATCCAAATTAACATACAACATTTAAAAACAAATTAAAGCAACCCCACTCCCCCAATAAAACAGCACCCACCCAAGTTTAAACCCCATCC